ACCTTCCCAGCGATGTGCAAAGGGGGCGGTGGGGAGGTAGGTTACAAAAGGGATATTTTCCCTGGAGATCCCTATTTCAGCAAAAGACACCATCCAGGACCATTCTATCTTCTTTGGATGTGCAACCCTTGCCAATTTATCCCTGCCTGCCTGGACAAGAGATTTCAACGACAGCTGCTTGGTGCCAAGGCTTGGGAATTTGGAAATTTCCATTACTCCTGCCTTCACAGTCCCAAGCCTGTGAGAACCGGGGTGGTAATAATAATAATAATAATAATAATAATAATAATAACAACTTCTGTTTGACACTTACTGAGGGCTATACATCAGATTTTGTGCTAGGCACTTCACATATCATTTACTCTGCAAACTCCATGAGGTAGATAATTATCATGTGCATTTTAGAGATGGGGAACTTGAGGGACGGAAATACTAAGTAGCCTGTTCAAAGTCACACAATTAGTTTAGTAGAGCTGGGATTTGAACTAGGCAATTTAGCCTCATGATTCATACACTTAACCTTAGGTACCAGTATACCTATTTTATAGATAGGGACAGTGATGTTAAATAACTTGCCCGTGGTCACACAGTTAATAGGCCATGATTACGACCAGATTTAGACCCTAGTCTGGTTCAAGTGCCTGAGCTCATAATAAGTGAGACTAGGGTAGTGGGATATAGGCCAGAGCCCCCAGGGTTGTACTGATCAGAGCTCCAGAAGGCCAGGTCGCCAGCATCCACCCTTCCCCCGTATTACGCCCCCCCTCCCAAAGCACCCCGGGGCTGGACTGCAGTCGGCCACCCAGCGCGCCGGAGGTATGAGGCCTCCTACCTCCGGCATTGGGAAATGGAGGTCCTGGGGGCCTTGGGCCGAGCCCGGCTTTGCTCCCCTCTGGCGTAGGTGCTTGAGTCCCGACCCCTACTGAAGGCCAGGTGTGGAACCCTCACCCGGGTCCTGGTACCCGTCCTCCCGCAGGCCTAGCCCGCCCCCGGCTTGTCAGCTCCCCGCCCCTACATCGTCAGGATGCCAGGCGGTTGCTAGGATACCGCGGGGCCGTTACGCAGGCGCGGAATGATGACGCACCACTGCTTCCGGTCCTTGGCGCTTCTCTACTGTCCAAGCCAGGTCAGTGGGGAAACTCGACTGGCCTACCTGGGGTCTACACGCCGAGCCCGGGGGTGGGCTGTGCCAGGGATGGGCCCGAGCCTCGCACCCCGGGAACTACCCTATGCCCTGCCTTTGCGGCCGGACGGGCGTGGGAGGCGCGGCCGCCCAGAGGTGGGCTGGTGGTGGTGGAAGCGGTCTGGTCGTCGCTGCGTGGCCTGAGGCTTTGACACCTGATCCCAGCTTTCTTGGAGATGGTATCGCCAGGGCCCGTTTTCTCAAGATTCCGAGAGTTGGGCCTGAGCTCTCTGCATTAGTACTTAAGGGGTCGATTGAATTGTGCCCGACCCGCCACCCTGCCGTTCTTTTCCTTTCAGCATGGTCCCCTGGGCCCCCAGCACGTCTCCTGGAAGAGCCCACTCTACTTGGACGAATACTTTGGCAGCCTCAGACCGCCCTTGAGGAGGATGACTGAGGCATTATGGGCCACGCGCTGTGTATCTGCTCTCCGGGAACTGTCATCATTGACAATAAGCGCTACCTCTTCATCCAGAAACTGGGGGAGGGGTGAGTGTTTGGAAATCACTAGTCCTCGAAGGACAGCAGTCTGCACATGATAGTGGCACAAAGGTTTTGTTCTGTAACCTATCCTTTAACTCACCTGACAGAGCCTAGTGACATGCTAGTCAAGAAAGTAGGTTCTGAAGCCAGGCCTCCTAGTCCATCTGTGTGACCTTGATTAGCCATGGTTTCTTCATCTGCTTAATGGAGATAATTACTATCTTGTGTCACTGATGGAGCTTTGAGGATTAAATGAGATACTGCATATAAAATGTCTTGGCAGTGGCTGGTTCATAGCACTTAATAAATGTTGACTATTCGTTTAATGTTTATTGAGCATCTGTCATGTGCAGAGCACTAGGTTATGACCACAGGACCTCAAAGATTACTATGTCCCAGCTCTTGAGCTCAAAGTGTAGTAATCTGCAGACTTCTCTTCATCTTGGGAGGATTTCTACTAAGTGGGAAAGACACCCCCCCCACCCCCCATTCTCCCCAGGGAGTTCCTTTGGATCCAAGCAATGTGGGAGATGACCATGGTCCTTCACTGACCCCTTTGGCCCACAGTGGGTTCAGCTATGTGGACCTAGTGGAGGGGTTACATGATGGACACTTCTACGCACTGAAGCGAATCCTGTGTCACGAGCAGCAGGATGTGGAAGAGGCCCAGCGAGAAGCCGACATGCATCACCTCTTCGATCACCCCAACATCCTTCGCCTCGTGGCTTATTGTCTGAGGGAGCGGGGCACTAAACATGAGGCCTGGCTGCTGCTACCTTTCTTCAAGGTCAGAAAGTCTCCTGGCTATGGAGGGGTTGCAGCAGAGCCACCAACCAAGGGCTGTGTGAGCAGTCAAGTATGTTAGGAAACAGAGGCAATGTCCTGGGTTTGACCACTTCAAACTTGGAGTTTAGAGGAATCAAAACAGGACTGTAGGGTATGGTGTGTGTGGTGAAAAGGTTGTTAGACTTTTGACATAGGGGAGGGGTCAGGGTCAAGGAACAGAAGCTTGAAAAACAACTGTGGGGATACTTGTGTTGCAGAGAGGTACGCTGTGGAACGAGATTGAAAGGCTGAAAGACAAAGGCAACTTCTTGACTGAAGATCAAATCCTTCAGCTACTGCTGGGTATCTGCAGAGGCCTTGAGGCCATTCATGTCCAGGGTTATGCCCACAGGTCAGTGGGAGGGCCCAGTTTACTTTCTGGGGCAGAAAGGGCCCCACCAAGAAAAATGAGAGGTCTTGGCTCTCCTTCCAAGGAACAACCCCCATGAATCTTTTGCGCACTAGGATTCTAGCCTTCCTGTCCAGAGATGCTTATGGGTCATTTCCACTTCCTGACAGGGACCTGAAGCCCACCAATATCTTGCTTGGAGATGAGGGGCAGCCAGTTTTAATGGACTTGGGTTCCATGAATCAAGCACGCATCCATGTGGAGGGCTCCCGCCAGGCCCTGACCCTGCAGGTAAGTCTCCAGGTTCCTTTGCCCACCTGTTCCCCATCCCTGACCTCTTCTGGTGTATTCCCTAATTTGGTCACTTGGCCATAACCTGTGCCCCATTTTTGAGCTCTGGGGCCACTGTTCCAGGACTGGGCAGCCCAGCGGTGCACCATTTCCTACCGGGCCCCGGAGCTCTTCTCTGTGCAGAGCCACTGTGTCATCGATGAGCGGACTGATGTTTGGGTGAGGAGCATGTGGGTGGGAATCTGGGTGGAGAGGAGTGCTGCTCTGTACCTCCTGTGGAGTAGAGAAGCCTGTCTTTGGTTTCCAGTGCATGGGGCCCAGGAACCATGTATGTCCCCATCCCCCTCAACTTCCTTCCTGGGAACTGTCACCGACACTGTGCTCAATTGCTCAGGAAGTGGTAAAACCCTGCCCTTTGAACAGGGTTGGTACAGCTAAGAGTCAGAGCTGAAGTCAGTGGCTAAGCAAGGGGTGTAGAGACCTCTAGCTAACTGGTAGTTTCTCTGTGCCCTGGTGGTGTCATGTGGCTGAAGGCAGCATAGTCCTTTTAGCTTACGTAGTCTCCTTTCACTACAGAATTAAGAGAGTTATCACCTCCATTGGCCCCCTTTTATGGAATAACCAAGATATGCTCAGTCCCTAGGCTGTGTGCTATATGCTATGATGTTTGGGGAAGGCCCTTATGATATGGTGTTCCAGAAGGGTGACAGTGTGGCCCTGGCTGTACAGAACCAACTCAGCATCCCGCAAAGCCCCAGGTGAGCAGTAGAAGGGGCACCAAGCACTTCAGACTCTCCTTGACATTATTGGAGGGGGAGCCTTGGCATGGCAGATGGGTGCCTCTCAGTCACCCTGCCCTCCTCTCCACAGGCATTCTTCGGCATTGCGGCAGCTGCTGGCCTCGATGATGACTGTGGACCCCCTGCAGCGCCCTCATATTCCTTTCCTCCTCAATCAGTTGGAGGCACTGCAACCCCCAGCTCCGGGCCAGCACACTACCCAAATCTGAACAAACCAGTGGCCATGTTGAGGTGGCCTCTGTGCCTTGGAATGAGGCCCCTGTCCCTCACTGGAATCCTGCTGTCTTATTGGGGGCAGGGGGGTTGGGGAGAGTCAGTTCAGTCTCCTATATTTGCTCTGTTCTCTTACCCCCAGAGCAATTGGACAGGGAGCCTGAGTTGGGGTGGGTTAGGGTGGGAGGTGGGGG